GATAGTGATAGTGATAGTGATAGTGATAGTGATAGTGATAGTGATAGTGAGTGGTAGTGGTAGTGATAGTGATAGTGATAGTGATAGTGATAGTGATAGTGATAGTGATAGTGATAGTGATAGTGATAGTGATAGTGATAGTGATAGTGATAGTGATAGTGATAGTGTGAGTGATAGAGATAGTGATAGTGATAGTGATAGTGATAGTGATAGTGATAGTGATAGTGATAGTGATAGTGATAGTGATAGTGATAGTAGTAGTAGTAGTAGTAGTAGTAGTAGTAGTAGTAGTAGTAGTAGTAGTAGTAGTAGTGGTGATAGAGGTGATAGTAGTGATAGTACTGATATTAGTAGTAGTAGTAGTAGTAGTAGTAGTAGTAGTAGTAGTAGTAGTAGTAGTGATAGTAGTAGCAGTAGCAGCAGTAGTCGTCGCAGCAGCAGCAGTTGTACTTGCCCCTCGCCGTGGCAGTAGCAGCAGTCCTGTCATGTTTTGCTTCGCGGGGGCTGGTGATGGCAATGGTAGTCATGGTGATCACGACAGTATTGGTCGTGATAGTGATTGTGATTGAGCAGTTATGCTGCTGAACATGCCTCTGCAGATCACAAGAAGAAGATAAAGAGGAATTACAATAGCATGCATAAGATGACAATGACCATGGCAATGATACAGCGGCAAATACTTGATGCAAGATGGACGACAGCTGATCCATGACGATCACTGGTGGATGAATGCGGCGGCGATGGCGACGCAGCGTAAACCTAAACCCCCTAAACCCTAAACCCCTTAAACCCTAAACCCTAAAACCCAAACCCTAAACCCTAAACCCCTAAACCCTAAAGCGCTAAACCCTAGACCCCCTGAACCCTAAACCCTAAAGCCCTAACCCTAAGCCCGGCGTCTGCTGAGCCACGGACTGTGAAAAGCGACCTCGTGAGGAGCAAGAGGAGGAGCAGCACGATTGCCGCAAGCAGACCACGGCCTGCTGGATGGTATGGGGTTTTAAGGTGTAGGATTTTGCGTTTAGGGCTTTGGGTTTCGGATTTTGGGTTTTGGGTTTAGGGTGCAGGGTTTTGGGTTTAGGGTGCAGGGTTTTGGGTTTAGGGTTTTGGGTTTAGGGTTTAGGGTTTAGGGCTTTGCCCTTGCCGGATTTAGGGCTTAGATTTTCGGATTCCGGATTCTATGGGGTTCTTGTCAAAGGAGCGAAAGTTCAGGCTGAAGATTATTGCTAAAACAGTAACCCTGATGATAGTGCTGACCATCAGAAGTAAGTGCTCCTGTCCGGGATGCTTTGGCGCACCATTTTGGCTGATCAACATCGGCAAGTCCAAGATTCTATGGGCGTGCCGCGAGTCTGGACGACGTCTGCCCTGATCTGTATCAGTTGCGGGCAGCATCTGTATATGTGAAACACGTCATGCATGTCGACAGAAATACACTGAAGCACCCTCCCCTTGAATGCTGCTCCTGGGGAGGGGAAGCACAGAAGTCTGCTTTGCCGGATACCCTTGTAATCCCCAGCAACCTCTTTATGAAACCCTGCTTAGCTTGAACAGCTGTAACCACCCTTCGGGTGCTTTAAGGTTTGGGGCTCTGTGGGTTCAGGTCTTTGAGGTTAAGGCTTGGGTTTGCTAGAGTGCAAGTGGCGAATGGCCAATGTCAGCCGGCAAGGTATCACACATCTTGCGCCGCTGAGTTCGGCACCGACCCACACCCTAAACCCTAAACCAGTCTTCCTGCTTCTCGAGTTCTAGATTCCTTGATCTCAAGTACTCGTGCTAGCCCCGAACTGTATGCCTGCTACTAAAATGTTGAAGGAACTCGAGCTACATGAGTATGCTACTTTCAGGGTGAACTCACAACAGGTCCTATGCAACTTGAAACCGTGGAAGGGTGCCTAGCTGCTGCGGGCAAATGGTGAAGCGACGCAGCTAGCCAGGTGTCGTAGGCAAAGTGCTCAAAGCCCACAGAACACCCACAACAACGACTGTGGATCCCTGAACCCTGAAATTACGGTTTAGAGTTTAGGGTTTAGGGTTTAGGGTTTAGGGTTTAGGGTTTAGGGTTTAGGGTTTAGGGTTTAGGGTTTAGGGTTTAGGGTTTAGGGTTTAGGGTTGAAATCGTTTAGGGTTTAGGGTTTATCCCTAAACCTGGCAACCCTGTACTGTGCCCAGAACCCCCTCCAAGCTCATGTACATTTGAGGCCTAAACCCTCATCCCTACATCCTGATCCCTAAACCCTATATAATCCCTGAGGGCCCTAAGCTTTATCAGGAGTGATCTCGGGAGCCATAATGCAAGGTGCTTCTCCGGGTCCTCTCCGGATCAAGGGCTTTCTTCCCGGACCTATGTGTCTACGGTTTGGGATGTAGGGTCTAGGGCTTAAGGCGTCTCGGCCCGAGCTGCGTCAGGCTTTTGTCCCCTCTAGGGGTTTTGTTGCCTCCGCAGCATACCAGACCCCAAGCTATTTCGCAATAGCGCCTGCGGCGCCCTTGTGGGGCACGCTTTGTGCTTTCCTTCTGCTGGAGGCACCGAGAGCAGCGAGCTCTCTTCTACGCGGCTGGAGGCCGCGTCTCTGTGCCCTGTGGTTCACTGCTTTTCGATAAGCTGACCCCCGTGGCATATGAGCCCAAGGGCGTCCTGGGGACCCCTCATACCACTTTTTCTGTTGGGAATTTGGCTTATTTGGATTGGCTCGGAGGAGAGCCCTGATACAGCCCTCACTTGGCCACGTGGGGCCCTACACCACGGCAAGGAAGGGCCGCAGATCAGCGAGCCCACCTTGGCACCGCAGGGAGCGGAAAGCCAGGAGCAAAATTCGAAGGAAGATCCAAGCTGGACGGGCCAGCTTGTCAGAGGTCCGGTGGCTGGCCAGCCATCACGGACACATGGGGCCCAAGACGAACCCGAAGGACAGAGCAGGCAAAGGTCGCGGCAAACAAGATGGCGCTGCTGCTGCTGCACAAGTTTCTCGCATCGACTTCGGGCTACCACAATCTGTCGTAGCCTCCTTACAGGCTATCGCAGCACGCTCTACGCAGGACCTTTGGTCCTCCCCTGCCGCGGTGGCTGCCGATCTTACCATCGAACAACAACACTCACGCCAGGCATCCGCCTCGTACAAGCTCTCCAAGAGAATTGCGGGGAATTCAAAGGCGAAAGAAGATCTGGCATCTGCCTTGGCAGAATGGGCAGGTTCTATAGGCCTCCACCTTGTCGGCTTGGTGCAACGGGTCAAAGCCCTGGGAGACAAAATCGACGAAGACCTACGGGCCGCATGTCAGGAGATGGAGACAACTTTGGTGGACCTTCCGTCTTCAACGACAGCGGAACGCATCCAGGCCGCGAGCACGAAGCTTGGGCCAGTGTGGACAGCCCCGCAGGCTTCCGAGATTGTTCGGATCGCCTCCGCTCTCCGTGCTTTCAGTGTGGTCCCAGGTTCAGCTTCGAGCAGCGGAGATGGAGCCCTACCCACACCCGGTGCTGCCTTGGGGCACTCAGGGATTGGTACGACGCAATCCAGAGAGGCTGTGGTTTTCCTGGGTACGCCAGGAGCCCCGCCGTCAGCTTTGGGTGTCTCGACCACTCCGAGGTCGCTGGGAGCGGTTACGGTACCCGCCCCGTCTGGTGTCATGGGTCCTGTCCCGAATGCAGAAGGGCGGACGGACATTGGGGACCCCGGCCAGAGGCATCGGCGGTGGAAAAGGGGCAATGTGGCTCTCCCAGAGTCCCCGCAGAGAGGAACCCATGTGGTCGGGGCCCCTCAGAGCCTGCATCTACGCCGTGGGTGCGCGGGACAAGGGAGAACTCCGGAGGCGGTGCACCGGCCGTCCCTTACAGAGGTGGCCGACGATATCGAGTTGCTGCCAGATCCCTCGTCAGTCAGCACACCCACGTCCTGGCTTGGCGCATGGCAGCAAGCCGCTATGTTCTGTTGTGCCAACGGGAGCGAGCTCATCAACGAACTCACCGCCGATCCGGAACAAGACGCTATTTGGCCTCTACATTTGGGGACAGATACAGATGCGGCAGGTTTGCAGGCCGAAGCGGAAGCGTTTTGGGCTGCGTTACCTCACACCGCTGCCACGGCAACAGAGGAGATGTCTGCCGATCTTGTGGCCTCCTGTCAGGATCTCCTGCAGAAGCTACGTTTGTGCCCGGGAGCCCTTGCAGGTGTGCGACAAGGTGTGGTCGTTTTGATTCAGGCGACCCTTGGCAATCTCCTGGATTATCGGCAGTACGGGCCGGCTACGGCTCAGGAATGGCTCTATCCGTCCTTGTTGATGGAACATGGTACAGCCTGTCAAGGTATACTGCCCACCCAACTCGCCGAGAGTATGCGTCCTCTTCTGAGATCTCCGGATCTTCCCCACAGCGCACCTTTGCAAGCGGCGGATGGAGCACTGTAGAGCGATCTCTGTACAAATTCTTGTACATAGCTGCTGCAGTTTCTGTGTATGCGGGGCTTTTGCTTTTGCTTGTACAGAGCATTCAATGGCGAACGGTCCGCCGATGGGGCATGCATACTGTTCTTTGGGTTGGAGCGCTATGCTTGCAGTACCGCAGTGTGAGACTGAGGGGCCCCAGACACAGTGCTCCGAGCACACTTTCTGTGGCGCAGCCGAGTCCCAGTACTTTGCCTGGTGCTTCTAGACGGGTTTTGTCATGCAACAGCCGGAGTAGGCCGATACGTGGTCTTTTCTTCATTTGGCTCACCCTCACCCCAGGAGGCTCAGCAGTTCAGATCTACCCAGCTGGCAGTTGGCACGGCCAGCCTATCTTCACCACAGGCGCAGTACCCGCTGAGGATAGTGTCAGGTCCCTTGCACCCGTCCGCTTTTCGGTACCACCTCTGACCGAAGCTACTCTTTCGCACCCAGCTCAACCAATCAGGGATGTTGGGGTTTATTGCAGCGAGTGCTCCCAAACACCTACGCTCCTACACGTAGATGATAGGGCCAGAGGTTCTGTGCTACATTGTGACCTGGCCTCTGCCCTGGGGATGCAGGCTCATGAGTGGGAGATGCGTCGCCTCATTGAAAGGCTGCCGGCCACACCGCCTGAGTGCTATGTCTTGTCTCCTAGGAGTCTAGCCTGGTACATGTGTCTAGTGCCGATTGATCTACGGCCGATGGGAGGGTCTATTCGCCTCCTCCAGGTTCGGCGCGATCGGCCCTGTATCGAGGCTATCAGGGGTTGCCTTTTGGATTTAGGCCAGGATATTTCCCGGCCCGTGCTTATCCGTACTGGGATTGGCTTGTTTCTCCCCACCGCCTCGGTTCTGCTTCTTCCCGAAGTTGATGCCTTTCAGGTATGGCCTGGGCCTGATGTGGTAGCCCCGCTCAGCGACTCGGACTCGTTGACACAGCCGCCTTCCAATGCCGATCGGTTCGCGCTCAGCCTCACAATGCCTCATGTTGCTGAGTCCTCTTTTCATGAGGCTTCTGGCAGTAATGCTGTAGTCATTTCGGGTGACGGGCTTTTCTATGTCGCTGCACCCTCATATTGTGACCATCTCACCTTAAGATCGGCAGTGTTGCAGGCCTTCCTTGAGGAGGGAGGTGGGGATCGTCGTGTCCCTCTCCACTTTGCGCGTGTTCTGCCACCGCTAGACGGTCTGCCCTCTGTGCAGTTTGCTGCACTTCGCTGCACTGCCGGAATGTCCCCTGCCCTTGTTGACTTGCGGCCCATGGGAGGCGCCCTGCAGGTATTTGGGGCCAGCATGTACGACACGCCAGCGATGCGTATTCAAGCAGCCATTGCTAGGAATGGCGACCCGGCCGCTAGACGACCGCTCATAGCACAACTCGCCGCCGGTAGTGTTTAAGTCATGCACCGCGAGGTTGTTGTTAACCCTTTTGTGGTTATACAGGGCCAGCCTCCTATCCCTTTGGTTGTAGTCTCCCGTAGGCCCAATCTTGCCGCAGGCTACCGGGACGCTGAGGGCCAGGATTCTGCAGACCATTCGCTTGAGGAGGCCTACGAGCAAAATCCCTCCCCTCTTGAGGTCTCTCCAGCAGTTCAGCCATCATGTGGATGGGTTCTGGTTCTCCTTGGGTGCTTTCATTGGCGTCTCTTGGGGATCGCGCTTTTAGGTGGGCTTTCGCCTGCTGCTGGCATGGTACCAGGTTTCCAAGAAGGGGTACCCCTTCAGGTCAGGTCTGAGGAGGAGGCTGATGACTCCCATTATCTATTCCCGGCGCTTGCCAGCGTACAGGAACACTACCGGTTATCCCTTCGCTTGTCCTTCCCCGATTCGCTTACGCGTCTTTCGTGGATTGATGCTGCAGGCCTGCCGGGCCGTGTCCACACTATGTTCTGTTTCTCCATCGCTAGTCCTGCTGAGACGTTTCGCTTTTACCTGCAAGGGGACCGCCCTTTCTTTCAGTTTAAGGAACTCTTGCAGCAGTGTTCCGGAAGGCTGGGACGCGGCCCTGCCGTTCTGGTATCACCTATGCCTCTGCATCGATGTGTTCAGTTTGTTGCCCCGCCGCGGGAGCTCACTCACTACACCGTTCTCCTCGACACTGGCACCCGCCGGTATTGTGTTGATGTTCCACACCAAGGTGCAGGCCAGGCCGCCCTATCAATTATCCATTTATTGGAACCGGGGCACAATTTTAGACTGGAAGTGCAACCAGGCAGAGGGATACGTACTGGAGATGTCATCCTCGCGCACGCTGACGAGGACAGCAAGCCTTTTGAGGTTGGGCCTATCTCCATTCCGCTGGGCGCCAACGCTGTGCAGTGGCTTTCCCTTAGCACCAGCGTATATGTCACCTCGGCTGACCACCAATTGCTTTGCATTCAGGCACCACGGGATTTCACTGTTTCCCTATTGCTTCAAGCTTTGGCTGAACTCTGGGGTGTTGCCCGTTGCACTGGGGTTGGGCTGCATAGAATCCCAATCACCCGACCGCCAGTTGATCTCTACTGCCTCCCCCGATTAGGTAAGGGCACTATCACTACGGTTCTCACCGACATAGGAGATGCTTCAGGGCCGCCCATTATCTGTACTGGTGATGCCTGGGGTGCTGCGCCCCCCTCGTGCAAAGCTCTGCAAGCAGATTCAGTATACGGAGAGTTCTGGACCGCCGTCTTTGAGCACAACCCTGTCCATCTTCGGCGCTCTTTGGTCCCCGCATTGCAGATGTCATCAGGATGTCCTCTGGCCTTCCTCCATCTTGGCCTTGACCTAGGGCGAGCACATGATTTTGGTTTTAGCTTAAGCTGGAACCAGGTTGTGCCACAAATTGGGATACCCCCCAGCCCTCCTCGGCTTAACTCTGAGGAGATCGGGGCTGTACTAGGTCGTAGTGTCGGGGTACAGACGATGGCCACTGTGTGGCCTGCCGCTGCCTCTCCTGTCTTCTCGGCCTCTCTGCCTGTCCGAACGCAAGCATGCGGCTGTTTGCCGGCGGAAGGTTTGCAGCACAGCGGCACGCTCTTCCATCTTGAGTGTCCACATATGGGCACCCATTGCACTATACCGTGCCGGCAGGATTTCTTTCTTTGGGCTGTGCACGTCGGCCATTGGGTGTACGGAGCGTGCACTGCTGAAGTCTCTTGGCAAGATGTTGCAGCTGTCGCTGGCCTCACCATCTGGGATCTCCCTGGCAGCAGTTTACACAGTGGTTCTGCTTCTTGGACGTGGCCAGCGGAGCTCGCTTCCTTTGCGGGGCAATGTGGGCATTTGTTACACGAGGGAAGGGACACGTGCCTGACACCTCGCTCCTATGCCTGTGGTGACATTGACTTTGACTCCACTGCTGCACGATTTGACGATAACCCCATCTGGTCTGCTTCTTGGGGAGGCCCTTCTCGTCTGTGGCCACTCGCCTTTGTTACTGGCAGATGGGGGGGCACCGAGGGTTAGTTTTGGTCATTTTGACTTGGGCTGGGCACCCTACACAGGCTACTCGCAACCGCCGTCCCCCACCTTCGTCTGGGTCGGACAGTGATACCGAGGCACTGGAGATTGAGCTCCCGGAGCCGGCGGAGGTATGTCCGGCGTGGTGCCACGAACTTGCTTGTCGCCATACCCATTTTGCCACGACAGCGGATGGCCTGCGCCACCACCTCTCTCGTCTGGCACCTTATGACACCTTCCAGGTTGCTGTGTGGACTCCGCTGGACGGCCCCACCCTTTTCGAGGCACCAAAACAGGTTACCTCAGGGCAATTCGCATACTTGCTAGCAGCAGCAGGTCATCGAGCCGCTGATCATCGCCTACACCTGGCGTTTGACACTCAGGCTACTGTAGCTGACGTTCTCTCCATTCCCGCTGGCAGTTCCATTTGGTGGATAGTGCGGGATGGGCTGGCGCGAGAGCTCTTACGTCCAGTTGCATTCTGGTATGAAGGCCACGACCGTATTGCTGTTACGCTCAATTCCCATGGTCAAGCCTCAGGCCTCATCGCCTCGCCAGAAGTTGCGCGCTTAAGGGCACTGCCGCAAGGAGCCCGAGCCTATGTAGGGGGTCCTCTTACGCGAGTCATAGGCCATCTCACTGCTAGCGGGTTGGTTCTTTCTGAACTAATGGTTGGGAGTGCGGTTGCTGTTTCTGTTGCTCCTAGCTCCTCTCGCCGCCCAACCCGTTACCTGGGCTTCCTATTGAGCCTGGTCATAGGCACGGCTATGCACATTGCACCAGGCAACGCTAATAATTTGGCAGTCAGCGGGCCGCCGGCCCTGCCGCAGCCATGGGGCTGCTCTTCTGTGCAGCAACCATCTATCATGCGCATCTGGACGCACACTCTCGCAGGTCCTCTCAATGTCCCCTACCAGGCTAGCCCTGATCCCTCAAGGCTTGCGAGTTGGGTCTTTGACACCCAACGGGGCGTCCCTGCTGAAGGCGACTTTGTGTGGACTACACCGCGGATCGTCAAAGGGGTAGCGCATCTTTTGCACATCCCGTCTGGGGTCGCCCCTCCGACACCTTTCTGGTTGCTACATTTCCGAGGCAAAGGGGCGGTTGTCGCTGTACAAGCCCCTGGTTTTGACTGGACCTTTGTCGCGCAGCAGGCTGTCGAGGCGTTCGGGGGTGACTTCTTTACCAAGGGTGCATTTGGCGTGCATCACTGCGGGCGAGTCTTTCCATTCAACACTCCCTTGCCGGTGCCCCCGCACGGGGCCATCATCTCCCTGGTCCGCATGACTCAGCCCAACCACGCTGGTTTTTCGACATGGGATGCCCCACCGGAAGCTTGCTGGGTGCCTCAGTTTGAATACGATATCTGTATGGGACCCCTTGGTGAGCCCGCTTTGTCTTTGCGTGCGATTGACAACGCCCGACACACTGGCCGGGGCCCGGCACGTTCACCTGAGGGTGACAATGCATCGCTATGTCACCACTCCGAAATGGCCGCGCAGCTCACCCAGGTGACTAGCCGTTTGCAGGACTTGACCACCCGGCTTGAGGCTTCAGGAGTGCTGGCCCCAACCAATGGATCGGCATCTAGCTGCGAGGTGGACTCGAGGCCAGTTGAAGCCTTGCACACCGCGTCGACACCTGATCCATGGACAGGGTAGAACACTGGGATGGCTCCAGCCCAAGGTCTCGATCCTGGGGTCTCCCCATGGATGTTCCTCCTGGCTTCGGAGCTCTTGGGGCTACCTGTCGATGCTGCGGGTGCGGTCACGGAGGACCCCACGGGTCCGGAAGCGCCGGTAGAGCCCAGCTCACCTTCATACTCTGACCTGCAGGCACCCACTCCTGACACCACCATCGAAGGGGAAGGTTTAGCCAGCACTGTCCGCGCAAGTGACTCTGTCGCTGCCAGCACTATGGTGCCTGTTGACGGCCCCACTGTGGCCAATGTGCCGGCCTTTGACCAGAGCATGGTTCCGGCCATGCAGCGCAGGGTTGCTGCACATCTGCAAGGCGTTAATGTGGCTCCCCAAGGGCACCCCTTCCTACCACATGGCTGTCCCATTACGATTCACGACCCCTTTTCGCGGGGGTCTACCTGTGAACTTCTCACCTCTAGCATCGCTACCGGCCTCATCTTCGAGGAGATGCTCCGTGACTATGTTGCCCGGCGAGGGTGGCAGCCCCTAGTGAGCGTCTACCCTCAGCCCGATGCTCTCTCAGTGCACCTTATCCCGGCAGCTGCTGACATAGCTCAGGTATCTGTGTTATTACGATCGGGTACCTCCCTTTACCCACGTTGCCTATCCCGCTCACTTATTGGAGGTCGCGGCACGCAGATCACTGTACGGGGCCGAAGGGGGCGCATTAGAGAACCTTATACTGCTAGCCGAGATCCGAACCGGCCCATCCACTTGCGGGACGGAGATTGCTTGCATGCTGATGTCGGTCCTTTTGGCCCCCCTCCGCCGGAGCCGGTCCGATCCTCCACTAGCTCGTTCAGGCTCTCCCCCCTGCTTGCCTTAGGTGCCCTGTTTCAGCATCGTGCTCAACTGCCTCGGGGACTGGTCTTTTTCGGGCTTGTTGCTCACAGTTGGGTTACGCTAGGACGGCTCTTGTCGATAGCCCTTCAGGTCCATGTTGCCCAGAATACCTTTCTGCTTTGGCCTGTTTGCGGTGCTGTCCATCTGAGTCGCACTGACCAGCGGCACGCCACCTATTCGATTGGCCACTACCCTTGGCGGTTAGCCCCCGACGATCAGGTCGCTTCACATGTCAGTCACGCAGCCGGCTTTCGTGCCACCTACTTGTGTCCATGGTTGGGGCCACAAGGCGACTTTCAGGGTCCCAGTACGCTCACTACCGCTGCATTAGCTCGTCGATATCAAGGAGGTGATAGCGCGGTAGCAGGGCTCATGCCGGTGTGGCCTGGAGACCGGAGCGACCGACTCTTGTTTGTGCCTCAGCTGACCGAGGCCAATCCACTAGTTTGTGTGGTTGCGCGATCCGAACACTGCCAGCGGTCCTTGCTTTTGCCTCCTGATTCAGCATACGAGCAGATCTGCAGGGCAGTGGTCTATTTGGCTCGTTTAGAGGTTGGACAGGTGCGCCTGCCACCCGCTGTTTTCGCTCTTTGTGGTCTGAGGCCCAATGCTGACATCCACCTACGCACGGGCGATGTTCTCGATGTCTTGGCCGGTAGGCAGGAGGCAACCTGCTGCCGTCCCACTTCCGTTGGGCAGCTCAAGGATAGCACCTTGTGGACGCGCCCTGTACTCCTTTCCTTTCCTGTGCCTGTGTACCTGTGGCTGCCCTCTCTTCGACAGCCAATTGTGCACCTGCTCCCGGCAGGAACCTGGTGGGACCCGGTCTCTCTCTCATTTGACGGGCCCTTTAGGCAGTCCTTCGCTGGCCGCTGGGTGCCTGTGTCGTGGGCCCCAAGCCATGTTGTTCACATGATGCAAGCTTCGGATGATGCCAATATAGTGCATGTTTTTCTTGAAAGCCAGGGGCAGCTTGTAGCACAGGCCACAGACAGGTGCCAGACGGTTGCTCGCTTTGCCGCTGATAGAGGTCTGCTGTCCACTGAACTCGTTGTCATCGGCGTGCCGAGTATGTCTGCCGACTGGCGGCTACGGGATGGTGACATCGTCTTTGATAATTTTCTCTCGGACCCACAGGCACGCCCGTGGGATCCCCTCGCTAGTGCCAGCCCCAGCCGCACTGCGCTCGGGGCGATTACAGGGGCCTGCTGGATCGTCACAGGGTCCAGCGCATGCTTCGTCTTGGTCTTTTCCTCTTGGCTGCCACCCACAAGGGCTGTGAGAGGCCGCTCCCGCACACCGCCCGATTCCAGTGAAGATGAATTTGACTGTACGGTTGCACCGGTTGGACTCTGGAAGCCTGAACTCACGCATCCCCTTGAATCTTTTCCTCAGCGCTGGGATTATCATATCCTCTGCCCCTTCCGCGGCTGGAGCTCTTGCATACAAGCTCCGGCCTCCACCACGCATACCGATTTCCAACACATCACCCGAAGGTTCTGCGGAGGATGGGTACGAGGCCATCTATTGCTGGGTCCGAGCCGCATCACAGGCATGGGTGTTGTTTTGCCCCTACCCAGTGCAGGATTAGCAACAATTTTTGTTCACGCCGGAGGATCTAGTCATGCCGCCGTTGTACCACGACACTGCTGCCTCGATGTCCTTCTGAGGCACCTTCAACGATTATGCTGGCCAATTGGAATCTGGCTGCGTTTGCCTCCAGCTTTAACTCGAGCTCAGATGCCTCGCGACGCTTCTTTGGCCTTGCGGGACGGAGACACCTTCTCACTTGAGCTGGACATGTACCATCCTGCTTACCGGTCCCAACCATCAGAAACGGTCGCCCGGGTTGAGCACCTCAATCACCTCAATCTTTGGCATGTTCCGTTTCGGCTCCGGCACGGAGGCTGGATTTTCATTTGGCACGATGAAGACAATCTTGAGCACCAGTGTGAGCGACACTGGGTAAATGCCCATAGCACATGGATGCCCCGTTGGTCTCAGTTTGTCCCACCTAGGGGTGAGCCGCTCGCGGATAAGATCGTTCCCGTCCCCTGCCTTAAGGAAGGCGAGTGCCATTTTGTCCGCCGTTCCGACTTTATGGAAGCTCGTGTGCTGATGGTTGACCCCTTGGACGCTTCCGCAGACGAATGCCGACTATTGTCACTCAGCCGGCTTGGCTGTGATATTCCTTTCGGGTGGCAACACAGACCGGACATCCAGATCCGCAATCGTGAAGGTGGTCTCCGGGACGGCGATGTGCTAGTGCCAACGTCTCGCGTCTCTGCTCGATCTCGGTTAGCTGACATCCTTGCTGCCCTCGGGGTGGCCGGGTTTAGGGGTTACTCTGGCCTAAGTCTCTTCCTGCCCCTTCTCTGTCTAAGCTTACCTGCCTCCTCCATGTTCGCCCCGCCGCAAGAGGTTCAAGGGGGCGCTGTCGGTAACATTGGCATGTTTCCGTGGCGCGTTCCCGTCGAACACCGCGCGTGCCATGAAGCAGTTCCTTCTGAAGGGTGTGCCCGTCTCTTTTCGCCCTTTGAGGCTGATGCCCCACTGGTACCGGTCTCCCCGGAGACACTGGTTGAGGACCTTACTATCAATTTGGTTAGTTGCGGTCCTGCTTGGTGCACAGACCTGATGCCGGTTTGGCCGAACATTTGGGTGCCACATATCAACTTCCTCCCTGCTCCCGATGACAGGAGGTTAGTATGTGTTCTCGTGGTTTCTCCCGAGTGGCAGCTACCTGTGCTTATTCCCAAACGTACAGACCTGACTTGGTTGCTGTCGTACCTTCGTCGTCTTGCACCGAGTGCGACCAGTACCCTCTACCGTCCACTTCAGTCGGCCCCTTCTTCGGCTGGCCCTAATGAAGCGGTGGATTGGCGCAATGGGGACCTGTTCTTGGCAATGGGACCCTCAGGATCCGCTCTGCATGACCAGCCCAGTTTCTCTCACGGGTCGGCTGTCCGTACCTCGGCCGTCTGGTCTTACGATTTCTTTTGCACATGTGCTCTACCTGTCGTTGTTTGGATCCCTGGGCGGCGCCCTTCCCGCACGGTCTTACCACCTGGCAGCCAATGGCGGGCCAACTTGGCTGCCTTTGAGGGCGAGTTCCAGCAAAGGTACCCGGGACACTGGGCGCCGGTACCTTGGGCATATTCACACGATGTGCACCTGTGTCAGCGTGCTGATGATGAAGTTTGCTGCAACGTTATAGTTGAGGAGTTAACTGACGATAAGTTGCGAGGTAACTGCCATACTGTCAATACTCGCATCTCCTCCCGCGCTTTTGCGGTTGCCTGGGGGGTTAGACCCGATAAGGTTCGGTTACTTGGTTTGCCTGGGGATCACGCAGATTGGCCCCCCCTGCGGGACGGCGATATTTTGCACTTTAATAGTGCTGATCGCTCGGAGGGCGTTAGGGCATCCGAGGTTCTTTGTGCGGTTGTAGCTTGTTTCCTTGGACATCACCCTTGGTTTAAGGGCGCGATTTGGTTAGGGTGCCGCCTCGGTACTGCTGTTGCGATGCCGACAGGTGCGCCCCCGTCCGGGCAGCCTCCTCACTGGCTCTGGAGCCCGTATCGGGGACGCCTGGGACCTGTGCTCTGCTCAGAAGAGGAGGAGGTTCGACAGTGGTTGCATTACCTCGAGCCGCTGTGGTTTCGGGGGCACACGAAGGTTCATCCTAGCTTGGAACCCTATGAACACCATTGGGTCCCCTTACTTGCGACCGACTCCCTTGTTACCGTCCTGGTGCTCGGAGCCCCGCGGCCCTTGGCGGTTATCCTACCTTCGCGGCTTACTAAACGCTTGCTCTTCAAGGCACTGAAGGGACTGTTTCCCGACATGACCTCTCTAGTCGGCAATCATCCGTCGCTGCGCTCTGCAGCCTCAGATGGCAGCGAGATCCGACTTCGACATGGTGATCTGCTAGCCACATGTACCAGTCGATGGCAGCCCTCCCTTGACTATCATTGGCGGCAACACTTCAGTAGTCCTCTTGAGGCACAAGAGCTCGGCCTGTGGAGCCATGACCTTGACTTTGACGGGCCAGGGATGGCTATCCTACACCGAGCCGGGGATCTCTTTCCTCTTGCCATTGCTCTCGAAGGCACCCAGAAATGGGATTCCCAGGCGTGTACGCTTAGGCCCGCTCTCCAAGGGCTTCTCGAATCTTGGTGGCCATGCACTGACATTACCAGTTCTATCACTAACTACATTCATTTCCGTGCTTTCTCCGCTCCCCTTGAGTCAGAGGCACCGGCGGTGATGCGTATCAGTGACGCAGAGCCGCCAGCGGATAGGATTGGTGACCCGCATCCCCCTGACCTCCATCATGTTCCCATGCCATTTAGTCATGGGATGAGGTCCAGTAGCATTTGTCGAGCCCTCGTCGTTGCTGGCATGGTCCTGAGTATCGGTGGCCTGAAGGGCGACACTGCAGCCATCCGCAATCTGGGTCCTACTCATTGGAGTTTGGTCTGGCTAGGCGTTTACCTTGCAGCCTTTGGAGCCCCCCGATGGGAAAAGTCCGTTGATTGCTGGCAGGCGGACCTCTCGGACGTGTGCCACCTCCAGGCAGCTATGCACGAGACCTGGTGGACACGATCCCAGCGACTCGCTTTGCCGTCTCCGCTCCCGCCAGCATACCACGCATCCTGGCAACTGTCGCCAGCATGGAGCGGAGGCGTCCCTGACTCTCTGCTAATAGCCACCGATGGTAGCGGTGTTGGGTCAGGGTCCTGGGCTTTTGCGGTCTGGGGCTTGTTCGCCGGCGTATGGCACCGGATCGATTGGGAAGCAGGAACCCTTCCCCAGGCCAATTGGATGCCCGAAGGCGTCTCTGAGGGCGGCGCTGATACACGCTCCTATCGTGGAGAGCTCGCGGCGCTGCAGGCGGCAGCCATGTGGTGCTTAGCGAACTTAGATCTGTGGGCCATGCACATGGGGTCCATGCCCCGCCTTCTTACTATCGCGGTCGATAACTCCTCCGCCATGCAGGTCGCTGCTGGCCATGCCGCGACAGACCAGCTCGGTGCGGCAGAGACTCGCGCTGTGTGGCAGGCCGTACAAGCCCGGATTTCGACGAGCTTTCAGCACGTACATAGTCACACTGGAGTCTTCGTCAACACCATAGTTGACGCGCTTGCTACGTGGGTGTTACATGCTAAAGCCCACCCTAGTTTGGCGTCAAGCCGCTGGGCACACGAATTCTCACCGCTCAGCCCCTGGCTCTGGTTGGTTGCGAAGGCCAAGGTCGTTGAAGGTTGCCCCACTTATAGGATGCCTATCGGCCTAGGTCAATGGTGTCCTCCTGCGCCCCCAGATGTCCCCGACAGTGATATTGTGCCTAGGCCCGCACCAGTACCACTTTGTGCTGCCACTGCTAACGTTCAATCCCTCAAAGACTCGTCCCCTAATCCATTCAATCCCGCGGGTCATGCGGCGCGTCGCCAGCATCTGATGGAACAGGCAAGCGCCTTGGGGATTGATATCCTCTGTATCCAGGAGGCCCGAAGTCGCCCGGGACGCTGGTCCGTGGCAGGATGGCACACATGGCGCTCTGGCGCCGAAAAAGGCCAGTACGGATGTGAAATTTGGGTCAACCCCCGTCTTGTCACACCTGCGCTGCATCTGAGTGACTGGCGCATTCTTCTTAGCACGCCCCGGATCTTAGTGATCACCTGCCTGTTTTCGCTCTTGCCTGTGACAATCTGTTCTGCTCACGCTCCTCATGCCGACAGACCAGACCGAGAGGCTACCGAATTTTGGGCTTTGTTGACCCAAACACTGCAGGAGGCCCCTAGATATCGCGCGCTGCTTATTGGCCTTGATGCCAATGGGGACTTCTGTTCGGCTGACGAGGACGACCACCTCATTGGCACATTGGTCTCGCAGGCGGAGCCGGCACGTAATGATGACTGTTTGCTGGAAATGTGTCTCCGGCTTGGCCTCGTCGCACCGGCTACTTTCCCCGATACTCAATTAGGGGAAGGATGGAGCTGGCAACACACTAGCTCTAAGCGCAAGCGTCTTGATCACCTGTTGTTCCAAGCAGGGCCCTGGGAAATCGCTCGTACTAGCCAAGCCCTTGCCTTTGATATTGTCAACGTCCAGCGGGACCACATGGCCCTCTGGGCGCAGGCAACTCTACACGCTGCAGCTCCCCAGGGACGGCGAGATGCCCCGCGTCGCTGTCTACCTTCGGAGGTTATACAGGGAGGACAAGCCATCTGGAAGGGCGTCCGCCTTGACGGCTGGAGTTGCACGGGGGAGCTTGTCCAGTCACTGCTTGACGGGTATGGTGCATGGCGGAAGGCCCTCCCGTCTCGACCACCCCTCACCCCGAAGCAGCCATATATTCAGGCCACCACTCTAGGTCACCTGAACAGACTGCGAGATTGGCGCGCGCAGGTGCGACACGTCAAGTCTGAGGGGGCGAGGCTTCTGCTGCATCTGTGTTTTCAAGGATGGAAGCAACAAGGTTTCCCTGACCGTCATGCCCACCTACAGTGGCATCAACACCGCCTATTGGAAGCGGCCATGCTGTCTCAGGAGTACCATCTTAGTCGCAGAGCCCATAATTCTGCCAAACGCGATAAGGCATGGTATTTTCTGCAACTGACACACCAGGCTACTGACCTTTGGCACCGCCATGGCTGTGCCATGGAATCTATCGTTAAACTCCGGTGGGCGTCTCGCAGGGCCGCCGAACGCAGAGCAGTCCACGCCGCAGGAGGTTATAATATCGACGCGGCCCTAGAAGAACAATTCCGGGAGCAAGAGGGGGGTCGCTTCGTAACTGCTCAGCAACTTCGCCTGACGCAGCTTGCCTGGGATGCCTCCCCAACAAATCCCTGCCCGGAGGCAGTGCCTACTCTCTTGCAAATGGAGTCTGCCTGCAGACGCCAACAAGGATCCAAGGCACCTGGTCCAGACCTTGTGCTCAATGAACTCTGGCGCCACTACCCTGTCCAAGCCGGACAGTGGTTCTGGCTGATCTGCACCCAAACCGCCCTAACCGGCCGTGAGCCCCCACATTTTAAGCTGGCGCTGATTTGCGCGCTTTACAAGAAAGGACCAGCGGCGCTGCCGCAAAATTACAGGTCCATAGCCTTGATGAACGGGATGGCTAAAGTGTACCATGGTTTCCTGAGACGGGGCGTAGGGCACTCCATCTTAGCTCAGTATAGGGGGCTACAACTTGGAGGGCGACCTGGCGTGCCGGTCAGTTTTGCGGTCGCAGCCTTCCGGAGTGCGTGGGCTCTCAGTGTCGAAGCTCACAGAAGTTGTGCCATTCTTTATGTTGATATCCGTGCTGCGTACTATGAAGCCAGTCGCGACCTCATCTTTCAGGGTGGTGAACTCGGACTCCAGCCAGATGAGGGTCGGTTATGGCACCTAGCCAGCCTTGTCACCTGCCTCCGCTGCGACGGCGCACTCCACCTTCTTGGGGTTCCGGCAGACGAAATAGCCTTGTTGCAAGACTGCGTCGCATGTGCCCATTGGCAACTTGTTGGCTCTGATAGATACGTCCTCGCTACGAGAGGGTCGCGACCTGGCGACGGGCTAGCCGATGTTCTCTTCGGAGCCCTCTTCGCTATCGCTCTCCGTCACATCGATGACACGTGCTGTGCCGAGGGGCTTGCATGCCACTCAGCAAGTATTGCGTCTGGTGCGGAAGCAACGCCTGTCTCTATTGGCTGGGCAGATGACCTGGCCATCATTACTGATTATACCTCGCCACGTGAGCTTCAGCAAGCCTTCCCGCGGGTAGCTGAAATTGTCTTGGACACCTTACATGCCCTTCGGTTTAAGGTTAACTTGGGTTTAGGCAAGACTGAGGCTCTTCTTGACATTCGGGGCCCCGAAGCGAAGGCTGTGCGAGGGGAGCTTCTCGGGCATGGGGGGCCTTGGCAGCTTCCCAATGGAGCGGAACTTCGCGTAACCCCTGAATACAGGTACTTAGGAGTCGTTCAGCAAGTTAAGGATACGGGTCGACGTGACACTGAGCTGAGCGCCCAACGTGGCCGGACGGCATGGATGCATGGCCGCAACCTCCTCAGCAGTGAGTCCGTGCCCTGGGCACTAAAACAAGCGTGGGTCGCCGGCCGCATTCTGCCGGCCGCGTATGCTACGCTTGCTACATGCATCGCGGTTTCAGAACGCGCTACTGCACCACTAGAAGGTCTCTTCGAACGACTCGCTCGCACTGTGGTAGGCTCTTGGCGATTCGGCCATGTCCTGCATCGCGCCTCTCTTCTCTGCCTGCTAGGCCTCTCCTCCCCAGCACAGGCCGTGCTTATTGCCAGGGCGAGGCTTACGGTCCAGCTTGTGCATAAAGCCCCTCAACCTGTCTGGCGCTTGTTCGATACTGCATGGAATCACGCGGTTCCTTGGTGTGAACTACTCGCTGATGCATGCCGGGCTGTAGCTCGTGGTGTTCCAGGCCGCTGTGGCAGGTTTGTCACCACCTCTCTTGCCTTTGTGCGCGATAATCAACGTGGGTTGCTGAATGCTTGCCGCTTTCTTAGCCGTTGGGGTACCCTACATAGTGCCTTCCATGACCTATGGCATGACCTCGACGGCCCACGCATGCGGAAAGTCCTGGGCCCTTCGGTTCAGGCTATTTGCCCTCTGTGCCGCGCCGCACTCCCCAGTGCCCAGGCGCTTGCCGCACACGTTCACCGGAAGCACTCAGTTGTTAACTGGCTCACCCGTTATACGCACGGCACGGCCTGCCTTTGGTGCCACCATGAAATGCATTCGACTGACCGTCTCAAGTATCATCTCCGTACCAACCCGTCTTGTGTTCATGGTCTGCGAGTCACGGTCGGTGAGGTCTATGAGTATGGCATCGGCACCCGCCGTGGCGGACCTCGCGGACACCGAGGTGTTCCGGCCATCCGACTGCCTGGGCCGCTGAACGCCACGCCAGCACAACGTCGTGCTGCTGAAGCCGGCAGAGCCTGCTCAGTGGCAGAGCTTGCCACAGAGCTTCGCCAAGTGGTAGGGGCGGCGCACGTCTATGACTGGCCCCCTCTTCCCGAGCCCCTTGTGCAACTGGCCGACCACCGAATGCAAGCTCCCCATGTTGAACAGCTTCCTGTTCCCCCCATCTCTCAGCCTTCTGAAGTCATCTCTTCTGCCTTGGGCCCTGCTGCGCCCCAGTCTCTTCGGTGGAGGTGTGTGCATGACTATGATGAAACGCCAACCAACTGGGCTGTACCTTCCATGCTGTGGTCGGCCAAGGACGTCGGACATACTGTCTGGCAGCTTCCACGGACTTGGCACCGTTATTGGAACTGTTGGAAGGCTGCTTCCTCTCTGCACCCGTGGGATGAGGCTGCTAAGGGGCCTCTGCGTGCACTGCGAGGCGCCGCATCGCATCACACTCCTTGTGCTCGTGACCCCCCTTTGCCTCTCCTCTGCCTTCTTGCTGCCACGGTTTCTTTCCGCCACATCTGTGCCCGTGTTCGCCTCGGTGGAGCACTCTGGCTGTGGGGTCTCCCGAGTGCTACTGGCACTGCTGTGTTGCGGGCACTGTTGCCTTCTGCCGTCTTCTCTCGGCTTTGCCTTTCTGGCCGCACGGTCTTTGTCGCACACCACCCTTGCTGCCCCCGTGTGTGGCAGCCCGCTCTGGCTGCTTTGTGCGCTCCTGTCCCCGGCGGGCCGTCTCCTGCCGTGCTCCCTGTCGGTGCCTCATTGATTTTCCGTTCCGAGTCGCTGGGTCGCTCCTGAGGAGCCTCTCGCCTCGTTTTTCTTGCCTGTGCGGTCACAGCGACTGTCACTTTTGGGCTTTGCACGTTAGTCTGCGCCGGACTTCTGACCGATTTGCAGTGAAGTGAAGAAGTCTAGGGCTTAGAGTCCAAAGTGCTAAACCCTAAACTAGGTGTCGAACTCGACAGTCCCCAAAATGACTTAGGACTAAGGCTCTATATTCAACAATAAGGGTTAGCCTGCATCATACCTAGCACACCCGGGGTTTAGAATTTGGGGCTTAGAGCTTAGGTCTCAGAGGGGAGCCCTCAACCCTGAACCCTAGCTTAGGTCTCAGAGGGGAAGCTGCTTTTGAACTCATGCAGTGGAAGCGCTGGAGACGGCGCTTCTCTGGCCAGGCACATCGCATCCAAGAACTCCAAAGCTGACCTGAACCTAGCAAAATCTACCTTTTTGCAAGGTCCCTGTACATTCCATATTAAGGTCTACAAAGAGAATCTACAAAAAAAGTTGGTTTTGGTAGGTTCAGGTACCCTAAACCCCAAGTCTTGGAACCTACAGCCTGTCATGAAGACTTACAGCCTAGGGTTTAGAGGCTTAGAGCTTACCAGAGCCCCAACTAACCTACCTCTCTCAAGGATTCATCAAAAGGAAATTATAATAAGGACCCCTAGAAAAGTCGGTATTTAGGGGTGTTAAGGTGGGGTTTAACATGTATTTAGGATTTGGGGTTTTAGCGCAAAGTGCGTTTAGGGTTTAGGGTAAGCTTGTAGCCTTGCCCCTGAGGCCCAAACCTTCGGGCGCTACAGTACACCGCAAAGCTTAACCCCCTTGAAGCTCTTCAAAACAGCCCAGACTGCAGGGGTGCATAAAGCTGAAACCCTAAACCCAAACCCTAATTACTCTACATACCCAAGCCCAGAAGCCTAATTCGCACGGCTGACTGCAAGATGTCCTCAACCCTGAACCAATACCCTAAACCCTACGCAGTCGCTGAGGATCTTGCTCTACTGTTGGGGCGTCGCACGTTCAGGGTTACTGGTAGTTATACGTAGGGCCATAAGTCCCCCAATATGAACTATACGTATAGTTACCCTACTGATAACCCCACTTACAGCTACACACGAACCTCCAAGTAAGCTTGCTTTGGGAGTTCAGACCGCTGCACTGAAGACCCGGTCGAAGGCAGAAGCTCTGACCCAAGAGTAGCCGGGCCTTGAGGTTGTCAGTAGGGCTTTACATGGAGGGTCGGGGGACTTAGTAACTGGATATTTATAGGCTTGTAAGTATCACAACCCCAATTAGGGTGCAGATCGACCCTACATGAGTAGTTCTCTACATTAGGTTTCTTCTGGGGGTCCTTTCTATAAGGATTCCGTAGATTTAAAGCCTAAAGTGGACCCGAATTTAGGTAGAGAGAAAGACCCAGATAGTAGGAAACCCTAAACCCTAATGCGATCGTGCCGGCCGATTTCATTTACACGCTCCACGAGATCGAGCCGTCAGGATCTTAGGAGGCTCCGAGCTTTCTCGAGCACATCCTGCAAAGGACTTTTGGGTTTAGGGTTTAGGGTTTAGAGAGACTTTTTGTTAGGGCTTGTAGGGAAGAGGATGGTTTAAGGCTTCGTGGGAGAACGGAATTAGACATTTGGGGGTTTAGGTGACACGGATTTAGGGTTGGCTTCGCGAGAGCGGGCTTTAAAGAGTGAAAGGGGGGATACTTCAAGCAGACTTGGGGTTTAGGGTTAAACCCTAAACCCTAAACCCTAAACCCACGCATTTAAGGTTCTAGGGTTTCGGTCAAGGGAACAGGGCTTGGAAACAACCCTCGGGCGACTTGTGAGCCTCAGGATCTGGAGAACTGAAGCTTCATGGCTCCTATACTGAACTTAGAACCCTAGCAGAAATTATAATTTTAGGTGTGTCTTAGGGATTATAATGACCAAAAATTAAAAAAAAAAAAAAAATATATATATATATATATATATATATATATTTTCTAAGTACCCCTAAGGTCCGAGGATGTAGATTAGCTGGGGCACTTGGTAGGGCAGGGTTTCGGCTTCAGGGTTCAGGGTTTAGGGTTTAGGGGTTTAGGGGTTTAGGGTTTAGGGTTTAGGGTTTAGGGGTTTAGGGTTTAGGGTTTAGGGTTTAGGGTTTTCGCTGCGAGTGCGCTGTCGACCCCTCCATGAAGTGGTTGGGGTCGGCGCATGAGCTGCAATACCCGCCCTCCCACCCAAATTACAAACCTTGAACGGGTTTAGGGTTGTCTACCCCCCCAACCCCCCCTAGCAAGGGGGGCTTATATGGTTTAGAGGAGCAGGCTTTGAAAGCGATGCTGGAACGTCATAATTGCATTCTCTACGAGCCGAGGTGGCCATGGCACAAGACAGCTTAAGCGGTGATGCACCTTCTGGTGCCTTCTTGGTGGCCTTCTGGAAGCCTTTGGGAGCCTTTGCGCCTTCTGAGCACCTTCTCAAAGCCTCCTCAAACTCTTCTGGTGGCCTTCTGGGTGCTTCTTAAAATCCAGGCTGGGTTCGGCCCTTCTGGGAGGTTTTCTATGGCTTTCTGGTGGTTTCTGGATGGTGCCTTGCAAGGCCTCTGCAGAATTTACGGGCCAAGGGCCTCTGAAGGCTTTGTGGGGGCCTTCTGGTGGCTTTGTGGGAAGCCCTCGAAAGGCTTTTTGGGGCCATGTGAAGGGCTTGTGAAAGCTTTCTGGTGCCTTGTTCGCTTTGTTGGGGACCAGACCTTCTGGCTTCTGGTGCCTGGTGCCTTCTGGGCTTTCTGGATGCTGCCTTGCAGGGGGCAGGGCCTCTGAAGGCTTTGTGGGGGCCTTCTGCGGGCTTTCTGGTGCAGTTCGCCTTGTGCGGGGCCTTTGGAGGCCTTCTGGCTTCTGGTGCCTGGTGCCTTGGGGCTTTGCCTTGCTTCGGGTCCTTAATTTTAGGTCCGGTCCTTAATTTTAAGCTCCGGGTCCTTAATTTTGGGCTCCGGGTCCTTAATTTTAGGTCCGGTCCGTAATTTTAAGCTCCGAATCCTTAATTTTCGACTCCGGTTCCTTAATTTTAGGTCCTGACCCTTAATGTCGGGCTCTTAATATTAGGCTCCGGGGTCCTTAATTTTAGGCGGTCCTTTATTTTAAGCTCCGGGTCCTTAATTTTCGGCTCAGGGTCCTTAATTTTAGGTCCGGTCCTTAATTTTAAGCTCCGTGTCCTTAAGTTTCGGCTCCGGATCCTCAATTTTAGATTTTAGTTCTTATTTTAAGCTCCGGGTCCTCAATTTTCGGCTCCGGGTCCTTAATTTTAGGTCCGGTCCTTAATTTTAAGCTCCGGGTCCTTAATTTTCGGCTCCGGGTCCTTAATTTTAGGTCCGGTCCTTAATTTTAAGCTCCGAGTCCTTAATTTCGACTCCGGGTCCTTAATTTTAGGTCATTTTAAGCTCCGGGGTCCTTAATTTTAGGCTGTCCTTAAATTTAAGCTCCGGGTCCTTCGTTTTCGGCTCCAATCCTTAATTTTAAAGCCTCGTCCTTAATTTGAAGTCTCAATCCTTAATTGTGGCCGACAGGTCCTTAATTTAAGGTTGGAGGATTTCAGGGCCGCCCGGCCGGTTTGCACCAAGGTTTAGGGTTATTACTTTATAGGCTGACAGTAGCGGCCTATTCACTGGAGCCGCGTGGACCTGAGGTCCAGGACCTACGGCTTGCCTTTCGGCCGTCGCCTACGGTCCGGCAGGCGCCTTCCGGTCCGCCTGCTGCGGCCGACCCCATTCGCTGCGGTGGGGGGTCGGCCTTCAGTTTAGGGGTTTAGGGTTTAGGGTTTAGGGTTTAGGGGTTTAGGGTTTAGGGTTTAGGGTTTAGGGGTTTAGGGGTTTAGGGTTTAGGGGTTTAGGGTTCAGGGTTTAGGGTTTAGGGTTTAGGGTTTAGGGGTTTAGGGTTTAGGGTTTAGGGGTTTAGGGTTTCGGTGTCATTTCAGAGGGCTTCGGAGTCTGCCACGCACTCTTCTCACTCACATGTCAACATCCTATGGGTGGCCATCGAGTTTAGGGCTTTGGGCTCGCACCATGACATGGCAAAACCCTACAAAGTTCACTGTCCACGTCGATGCCATGGCGCCACTCTGTAGTTGCTTACAACTACATCGAACAACAAACCCACTCACCGCCCAAATTCCGCGTTCAGGCTGTAGATGGTTCAATGTGGGATATAGGAATGTAAGTTTCAAGGGCCTACAGACTTCAGAAGCTGAGGGCCCAAACCCCATCTCTCCCACAAAGACACCCAACCTGATCCCTAATACAAGTGCCTAAGAGCTAGAGATGAAATAAGGAACCCTAAAGACCTAAGGAATAATGTGGCTCATTGTTCAGGCCTCTGTTTTGAGGCCAAAACCCTAGACTTAACTCGACACCCAAACCCTGAACGAGTCCTTCTTAATCTTCGGATAGTTCTCGGAGATCTTCAAGACGCTTTGGCAAATGTTGATGGCTGGCACATAACCTCAGGGTTTTTGGCTTGGGTTTTGGGTTTAGAGGAGATGGATGTTGGATCCGAAAGTTTGCTGCTCAGCCGGCAGCCTTGAGCGAAAAGCACCACCAACAGAGACAGGGAGCCAGCATCCGAAGCCCTCAGCCTCACACCTTGAACTACCAGCACATCAACCAGTAACCCTAATGCTCAGCTCTGAACAGTTCGACCCCTCCCCCCCAAGCGTCCATCCCAGACCTTGTAGACACCCTACAGCCTTCATTCTGCTTCTTGGGTGTATGGGCTGGAAAACAAGCCCCGAGGCCCTGAACCGGATCTGAAACCCTAAACTTGCCATCCTGTAAAGCCTTAACCCCGAGAACTGTGTCGCCAAGAAGCGCTTTGCCTTAAGATAGTTGAAGGCAAGCCGATAGCCTGAGTGCTTTGGGTGCGAATTCAGGGTTGGTTAGGCAGCTAGAGAGAGGGTGGAGGTTTTGGCTTTAGCGGTCAGGCATTCGCGGTTGGGAGTTTGGCGATTAAGGTTAAGACTGTTAGAGTTTCG